GGTGGGTGGGTATTCAGTGTGAGGAGCCCTGGGAGAGAGAGGGGATGGAGGGAGAGAGAGGACCTCAGCCTGCCTGTGGGGTATTGGCTTAGTGAAGACAATTTTCTCGCTGGTTCCTGCACCACAGTTAGGGAGTCATGACTGCTCAGACCCTAAGGTTTTCACTGAAACTTGAGAAGGGAAATAGGGCTGACTCCTGAAGAGGCCCTGGGAGGCAGGGCTGGCTGCCTGGTACTGTGCCAGGCTTCCCACTTGCCCCCACCCAAGGAGAGGGGTCAGCGGCACCGATTGCTCATTTTCCCCTTTACTTTCTCTCCAGCTCATAAAACTCCAGTCCCGGCAATGCCTGTGACAATTTCCAGTTGGTAATTAAAGGGAGATGGCGATAAGGGGACAGAATTTAGGGGAAATTTCTTTACAGTTCCTACTGAGGTGACTTGGAGCTCTAGCTGCTGGCTTCAGGGCTGAGGGCTTTCATGGGGAGGACAACAGGCTGAGGTCACCAGGTTGTGCCTCTGTCATGTGTCACTGGCTGAGTAGCTGATGCCCTCCTGAGCCCAGCACCTCCTGCCTTGGCCGAGGCCATTCCTGTGGACCAGGCTCCCTCTGGGTGGCCAGGCCCACCTTGCTGCTCAGCCTTTCTTCTAGTTCCCAATCTCGAACCTGGGTCTCCATCCAGCTCTGTGATTCCTCATCAGCGCATCCTGTTCTCTGCTGCCCAAGATTGTCCTCATCCAGCAGGGAGTTTTTGTTGTCTATCATCAGGAGCAGATATCCTTCCTGGTCCTTCTGTCTGGTATCGGAGCATAGCTCCAAAGGGAGTCTCATCAGCCCCTCTCTTCATTTAGGGAATTGTTAGACAACAAGAGTAGTGCAGTTCTCTGGCTCATACCAGTTCTTCCCCGAGCTTTGGAAACTCTTGAACATGCTTTAAGGCCCAGCTCAAATGCTGCCTCCCCAGTGAAAACATCCATAAGCTTTCTTTCTTTGTTCTGCCCTCTCCTTCTTCTCTATTCACCAGAGAGCTACGAGGTAGGGCTAAGCTCTGAGTTCAGATCTCAGCAGGGTCACACACTTAACTGTGTGACCTCAGGCAAATTAATGATCTACTCTGTGCCTGTTTCCTCATTTGTAAATAAAAGTGCTTGCTTACTCTGTATTGGTAGTTGTGTGGAACTCATAGAACTAATAAACGTGAAGTATTCAGAATGGTGCCTGACACAGTGAAGATTCAGTGAGCACTGACAGCTTTTCCTAGCTCTACTTACCTCTCCCTCCTCTGTGTTCTGGATTCATTGTGTTTAATCTGGAATTTCTGATATTTAGATGCCTGCATTTCCAGCTAGTTGAAGAGCCTCTAAGAGGCCAAAAGTTGGCCTTATTCATTCCACTCACTCTCTGGTGGCTGCATAGTGAGAAGCCAGTGAGTGGGCATTGAGACAGAGTGACCAGTGAGTGGGGATCTTCGTGGTGCCCCAGTTTTCTCTCTGGCTGGCTATGAGAGTTTCTCAAGTCACTTGATCCTTCCTCCATCACTTCCTCCTTGAGATTGTGAGAGGCTTGGACAAAATGAGTTGATTGATACCCTCCACCTTGGAATGTTTTGGCCTCTGGAATTAGAGATGAGGATGGGCTGTGCCTTGAAAAAGTGGCTGTGGGCAAAGCAGGAAGGCTCTGTGGGCACACGCAGCCTGTCACTAGGTGAGGGAGTACAGAGCTGATCCACCATCAGCAGTGACTTGCACCTTCGTGTAAGAACCAGGCTTTTCCAGGTGGGGTCTGACGGTCCCTATGCAGCAGGTGGCAAAGCTGGACCTGCTCTGCCAGAGAACCATGTAACTGGAAGGCATGAGGAGATCGCAGTGCCCAGACAGTCTCATTTGTTCATGATCCTCAAGGTCTTGTTCACTGCAGTGGATCCAGGAGGCCAGGCACTGTGCTGGGTGGCCAAGGCCTCTGACCATGGTTGATGCCCTTCCCTTGCTTGGCCCCTTAGCCTCTGGAGACCAACATGGGCAGGATGTTTCAGGAGTCACTGTCTATGGGCTCCCTAAAAGCTTGGTGAGGGTAGTGGGATACACAGGCCTTGGGGGGGTCACAGATCCAAAAAAGGATAATAACTAGTTAAATCTGAATATCAGATAAGTGACCAAAAAACTCGAGCATAATTACATTCCATTTAGACCCTATTTGGGACACACTTATACTAAAATTATTCATTATTCATCCAAAATTCAGATTTCACTGGGCATCTGGTGTTTTTATGTGCTGGATTTAATGAGAACCACCACAAGTGTCTTGTCACGACTCCTCCACCTCAGCCTCCAGGAGAGGTCTCCATGGCACCTTGGCATCACATGTAGAGAAGGGGCTCTCTCACATTCTAAAAGTTTCTCTGATTAAGTGAGGCTTGGGGAGTGTCTGGGTTTTCTATTGCCGCTGAAACAAAGTACTGCAAACTTAGTGGTTTAAAACGACACCAATATATTTTCTTATGATTCTGGAGGAGAGAAATATGAGAGTCAAGGTACCAGGAGGTCTACATCCTTTACTGGGGATCTAAAGGAAAATCTATTTTCTTACCTTTTCCAGCATCTAGACATTATCCATGTTCCTTGGCTTGTGGTCCCCCTCAATCTAGAAGGCCAGCAGTGGCCCACCAAGCCTATCTCACATCATATTCTTCTGACGCTGTTTCTTCTATCTCCTTCTACATTTCAAGGATTATATTGGACCCAACCAGATAAATCCAAATAACCTGCTGATCTAGTTAGGCAGCTAATTAGCAAACTTAATCCATTGGCAATCTTAATTCCCTTTGCATTAGAATATAAAATATTCACTGGTCCCTTGGATTAGAATGTGGGCATCTTTGAGTGGAGGGGGCAGTGATTTCCTACCATCAGGAGAGTTCAGTGTTGCCTCTCTCCCCTGCAGTTTGCTCACAGAGTCCCAGACTTGGTGCTAAAGGACATCGCCTGCAATGAAGCCCTCCTGGAGTGCTTCATCATCTTTGGCCAGAGACATGGGGCGTGGGCTGTGCGTGACGCCCTGTGTTCCCTCTCCCAGGGGACCCTACAGTGGATAGAAGACACTCTGTATGCCAATGTGGACTTCTTCAAGCTCTTCCATGTGATAAGCGAAGGGTGACTCCTGGGACAGGCAGCATCTGGGACTCATGAATTGACACTGGTGGAGGTGTGAACCTAGTATTCAGAACAAGCCTGGAGGAAGCTCCAGGCTCCAGGGGCCCAAGAAATCTTGACCAATATGATTTTTAGAACATCGGCCTAGTGACCCAAGAGTCATAGGAGCTTCAGCATTAGGTATTGTGACAGGTGTGTGTTTATTCCAAATGTGGGCTGAGTGCTCCCCAACACCTGTAGCAATGTGGTTAAGAAAGAAGCCAGGTTTGGTGTTGCACACCTGTAATCTCAGCGGCTCAGGAGACTGAGACAGGAAGATCACCAGTTCAAAGCCAGCCTTAGCAACATAGTGAGGCTCTAAGCAACTTAACAAGATCCTGTCTTGGCTGGAGATGTGGCTCAGTGGTTAAGCATCCCGAGGTTCAATCTCTGGTACAAAAAAAAAAAAGGAAAGAAGAAGGCCTGGTTTGACTTCTGTGATTGTGGCAAGATATTGAAATTTTCCGAGCCTCATTATTTCTCTATATAAGTACAATACTTAATAAATTCATTTAAAAAGATACAGACAAAAAAAACTATATGTAAGGCATTTAATAAATTTTAATAAATGAGGACTTCATGCTCTTTCTTCTGGACCTGGTCTTGACCCACATTCCCCCACCAATGGCTGTTTCTAAGAAAACAACAGAAATTTTCTTGTCTCACAGCTCTGATCTAGCTCAATCTTCTGTACTAGAATGGCATCCCAGAGATGTATTTCCTTCTTTGCTAGAAGGATAAAATAAGAGGGAATATTATAAAGGAGGGGCTGTGCAGGAACTGTCAGGCTACAGGGTGCTTGAAAAGCATCACAGAAGTTGGTGAAAGAGGCAGAGCTTCCTTTGGCCCATTAAAAAGCAGAATAACGTTTGAACCCAGAAGAATTAATTGTGCTGATTACATTTCTTTGGGGACCTATAAATAGTTGTTTACTTTTTCCACACAATCATCATCACTAGGTGGATATTATTTGCATTCTTTAGCTGCCTTAGGCCTCAGGTCCCTGTGGGCCACCCTTTCACCAACACTCAGAATGCTTTGGAGACAAAATGTAGGATTTCTAGCACTAAATTGTGTTTTTTCTTTTGCCTATATTTTAATTTAGGGAACTGTGTTGTGAGGAATGTCAGTTCTAAGAATTGATTAAAGAATTTTATTTTGTCTACTTTTTGCTTGCTCTCTCAAGTCTCCAGAAAACCCACTCTCAGCTTGTCTTTAAGGCTTGGAAAAAACGAAACAAAATAAAACAAGACCCCACAGTTTCTGGAAGAGTTCACTCTGAATCCCTTTGAAAGTGGGCTTTCCCTTGGAAGCTACTCTACACATTTCCCTAACTCATCAGGTAGGGAAGAGGGGTCAGAAACTGGGGATGCCCTCACTGCTCAGGGTCTGGGCCTCAGAAAAGGTCTCTAGGCTTTCTTTGGTGCAGAAAGAATAAAAAGCAATGTGGTCCAAACATCTCCGTCCAGTTTCAAAAGGAAACTGATTTTAGATTCACTCTTTGGTTTGTTTAATAATTAGATAGAAGAGTAAGATGACAAAGGTGCCTTATTCTGGGCAATTTTACCCAGACAGCCAGGAGACAGTGCCTGTGTTGCAGAGCCAAGACCTGTGTGCTTCCATGGAACAGAATGAAGGGTACCAGTATGCTGGGGTAAGCAGGGGCCTGGTTGCCTAGGTGCCCAGTTCTTTGCAATATTCTTGTCAGTAAGAGGGGGACCAGGTCATGCTTCTCTTCTTGAAGCACCTTGGCTACTGATAAATTTACTTCCTGGGACATGACCATCAATTCTGGGAGACAATCCTGAGTGTAGCAGAATAAAGGGGGCACCTGGGCAAAATTTTCCATTAATGACTGGAATTTGTGTTGGTCAGATTGCCATTACTATTACAAATACCTGAAAAAAAACAACTTATAAAGAGAAAAGGTTTATTTTGTCTCACATTTTTTGGAGGTTCCAGGCCATGTTTAGTTGGCCCCATTGCTTTTGGACTTGTGGTAAGGTTGCACATCATGGCAGAAACATGTGTAGAGCAAAACTGCTCACCTATGGCCAATAAGCAAATGAGAGAGGGAGGTGGAGAGAATGGAGTGGGGTCCTGCTCTCTCCTCCCAAGGACCCAAAGACCTCCCACTAGGCCCCACCTCTTAAAGGCCCCACCACCTCCCAGTAGCACTGGGGACCAAGCATTTAACACATACACCTTTGGGAAACACTCAAGATGTAAACTGCAGTAAACCCCCAAGAGACCATTGACTATAAAAAGCTACTTCTTAGACCAGAACATCTTTCCTTCTGTCCTTATGGGCTGCCCTGATAAGTGCTTGAGTTCAGAAAGCAGAGGCTAACTTTGGCCAATTGCCCCACTCACCTCTTGTAGGTCTTGGGTGCTTGCATACCACCTCCACGTGTGTTCACATGCTCACACCTACAGCAGACAGCTGCCAGGCACCAGCCCCTGCACCAAGGCCAAGGTTCGAGCCATGAGCCTCCCATCCTCACTGAACTCACAGATTGGAGATGAGCAACTTAGCTGGTTCACCGCAGCATAGCTTAGAAAGACCAGCACCAACATCTGTCCCTCAGGACAGCGCTTCCTAGACTTGGCTGCACATGGAATCACTTAAGGAGCTTTAAAAACTACACCTGCCCGGCTCCAACCCCAAAGATTCTGAGTCTGTTGATACAACTTTGTATTTCAGTATTTTTTAGAGCTTTCCCGATAATTCCAAAGTCCAGCTGGGGACTGACCTAGAATCACTGACCTAGAACATAGGAGTTTGACTTACATCTCTGGTTTTGTGGACCAAGCACAGTAAGAATTGTACCCTCAAATACCTCTGAGGCTTCAAAGCATTTCATTTGATCACCTATGAGACTGAAGCACTATAGAGATGCTTCCTCCTCCTATTCTCTTTATAAAGTCAGAGAGTTGCAGATGGAGAGTGGACCCAGAGACTCTAGAGAACACCCAGCAAAGGTGAACCTCTGGTGGCCTCTGAGGACTGTCCCTACCTGCCAACCTTTCACTCCTGCTTCCACCTCTGTAGGGAAAGACCTGACCAGAACATGCAGATGGGCCCCAAAGAACAAGCACCCCATCTAGTCCTCTGGTGCCCTTTGAAATATGCTTTTCAGTTGGACAAATGGATAGAGCAGCTAATTTTTTTTTTAATTACAAACAAATAACTTAAAAGAAATAGCAGGCATTAGGGTGGGATTTTTACTTTATTGCTCCTGTACTCATCCTATTCATGTTTTTAGGAAAATGACCCTGAGGCAGGCACAGAGAGGCACAGGGCCAATTGCCGACCCTGTGAGAGAAGCAGAGGCCAGCCTCTCTGGGCCCAGGCTGTTATTGCAGCTGGTTGGCGCACATCCACACTTATTTTCAGCAAAGGAGTGCTGAGCCATCTGTTCTCCTGGGCTGTTTCTCATGTGCATGTAGCCAATGTATAAATAAGTTTTTATTAAATGCCAAGTCAGTTATCATTAACAAAGAAAGAGGGGAAATATCAGTAAACCACTGTGACAGCACCTGCCCCTGCTGTGTAAGGAGCAAGGATGGGAGTGTGTGTGGGGGGGTGCAACCTCCCAGACAGGGGAAACCTGTGGAGCTGAGAGAATGGGAGGGGGTTGGTTAGCACCAACTGAGACCAGCTGTGTTTTTCCTCAGTCCCTCAGAGGTCAAAAGTGAGTGTTGTCATCCTCAAATAATCCCAAGGCAGTGCCCACAACCTTCCTCCACCCCACCCATCCACATAGGTGCACTTGCACACATTCACACATCCACTCGTGCATGATGACACAGGCTCTCTTGCACACTTGTGCACATACACATGAATCGGTGACCTAGGTGAGCTGGGAAAGGAACCAGAAACCAGATGCAAGGAAATTCAGCTCCTCTTGGTTTCACCTCCCATGTGACAGCTTAAAGGAGCTTGTCTTCACCTGGGGGCCTTTTCAGGTTTAACGCCCCCAGCTTGAAACCCAGCAGCCCTGAACTGGGCCCAAGGTATCATTACTGCCAACACTACCTGAAATGTTCGCACCTCATAAAAAATGGTGCGTCAGTTTCGTCAGTCAGTTTCGGGTGAGGGGTTGGGAGGTTTCCCATCTGATCTGGCCCCAGGCAGGCCTGCCCCTCCTCCTCCTCCTCCTCCCCCTGTGATCCTTCCTGTTTTCTCTCCAGCTCTGGTGCACAGCTTTGAAATCTTGCTGAGAAGCAAATCTGTCCCTTCTGCTTGAATGTTTATTTGTGGAAGTTCAGCAGGGGAATTGAGGCGGGTGCCAAGACCTGCCATACTGCTGGGAAATCTGAGTTTCCCTCCCCTCCCCCTTCTCCGGGGATGTTGATGGAGGAAATCTGGCCTTTTGGCTCACAGTTCCCCCGCTTTGCAAACACTCCCAGAGTGGCATGATTCAGCTCTCTTTCCTTTTGCCCCTACTCTGCTGTGGTTTTGATTTTTCTGACTCCATTGTACCCACGTCCCCCGGACCAGGGGCTGGCTGAACTCTGCATTCCAGAGAAGAAAGGACTCAGTCTTGGGGTCCTGACTACATGCTCCTATCAATGTCCTGCTTCATTCTTGGGTGTGCTCCCTAAATTCCTGAAGCTTCGTGAATAAACAGGGTTGGACTGCACACTGCCCTGCGAGAGTTGGCCGTGCTCACTGCTCTCCAGGGTCATTTTGCTGCAATTTGTTAAATTTCAACTACGCCTTTCAATTTTGGGGTGGATACTGCTATTATCACGAGTCTCTGGGAAAACCCCCAGCATCTCCAGGATCTTCCATTGAGGCCCTATTA